ACCTGGGGTCACCTGGGTCACCTGGGGTCACTGGGGCCACCCGGGGTCACTCAGTGTCACCTGGGGTCACCTGGGTCACCTGGGGTCACTGGGGCCACCCGGGGTCACTCAGTGTCACCTGGGGTCACTGGGGCCACCCAGGGTCACCCAGGGTCACCTGGGGTCACTCAGTGTCACCTGGGGTCACTGGGGCCACCCAGGGTCACCCAGGGTCACCTGGGGTCACTCAGTGTCACCTGGGGTCACTGGGGTCACCTGGGTCACCTGGGGTCACCCGGGTCACTCAGTGTCACCCGGGGTCACCTGGGTCACCTGGGGGGTCACCAGGGGGTCACCGGGGTCACCCAGGGACACCTGGAGTCACCCGGATCACCTGGGGTCACTGGGGTCACCTGGGTCACCTGGGGTCACTAGAGCCACCTGGGGTCACCTGGGGTCACTCAGTGTCACATGGGGTCACCTGGGTCACCTGGGGTCACTGGGGCCACCCGGGGTCACTCCGTGTCACCTGGGGTCACTAGGGCCACCTGGGGTCACCCGGTGTCACCTGGGGTCACCTGGGTCACCTGGGGTCACCCGGTGTCACCTGGGGTCACCTGGGTCACCTGGTTCTCCCCTCCCAGTGCCCGCAGTTCCCCAGGGGTCACCGGGGTCACCTGAGGTCACTCAGTGTCACCAGGGTCACCGGAGGTCACCTGGGGTCACTCGATGTCCCCCAGCCCCTCCCGGTGTCCCCAGGAGTGGGCGGGGCTAAAGAGGGCGGGGCGGGAGTGGGCGGAGCTTGTGGGGGTGGGCGTGGCCACCGGGTTTGGCAAAGTGGGCGTGGTCTATTTGTGGGCGTGGCTTAGCAGGTGGAGCGGGGCCTTGGGGGCGTGGCCGCAGGCGGGCGTGGTTTATCGCGGGTGTGGCTCGTGGGCGTGGCTCATTGTGGGCGTGGGTTGTGGGCGTGGCTTAGTGCAGGTGGGTGTGGCCATGGGGCAGGTGGGCGTGGCTTAGGTGAAGCTGACAATGGCTGTGACCAGGAGTGGGCGTGGCTTGGGTGGGCGTGGGTCACGGGTGTGGTGTGTGGGTGGGCGTGGCTTGAGTGGGCGTGGCAAGGGGCGTGGCAAGGGGCGTGTCTGACCGGCAGCTGCGGCAGTGGCCGTGTGGGCGGAGCCTGTAGCCGTAGGTGGGGTTTAGGCAGCAATCGGCCAATGGGAGCTGCTCCTCGCCCAGCGGCTCCGTGCAGGCCCCGCCCTCTTCATTCTCCTCCAATCGCATGAAGCACCAGACGGGCGTGGCCGCTGGGGGCGGGGCCAGGGGTCACCAGTGCTCCCAGTATGGCCCAGTTTCCCCCAGTTCCCTCCCAGTCCTCCCAGTCCCCCCCAGTTCCTTCCCAGTCCCTCCCAGTTCCTCCCAGTGCTCCCAGTTCCTCTTCCCCCAGTGTTCCCAGTGACCTTTAAGCCTCACTTTCCCCTCCCCCTCCCCGCTCCCAGTGCTCTCCCAGTT